TTGAGTAAGGCTTAGTTTATAATTAAAAGCTTTGCCACATTCTTTACATTTGTATGGCTTTTCTCCAGTATGAATTCTCTGGTGTTGAGTAAGGCCTGATTTTTTATTAAAAGCCTTGTCACATTCTTTACATTTGTATGGCGTTTCTCCAGTATGGATTCTCTGGTGTTCACTAAGGTAATATTTTGAATTAAAAGCCTTGCCACATTCTTTACATTTGTATGGTTTTTCTCCAGTATGAATTCTCTGGTGTTGAGTAAGGCTTACTCTATGATTAAAAGCTTTGCCACATTCTGTACATTTGTATGGCTTTTCTCCAGTATGAATTCTCTGGTGTTGAGTAAGGCTTACTCTATAATTAAAAGCTTTGCCACATTCTGTACATTTGTATGGCTTTTCTCCAGTATGAATTCTCTGGTGTTGAGTAAAGCTTACTCTGTAACTAAAAGCTTTGCCACATTCTTTACATTTGTATGGCTTTTCTCTAGTATGAATTCTCTGGTGTTGAGTAAGGTGTGATTTTCGATTAAAAGCTTTGCCACATTCTGTACATGTGTATGGCTTTTCTCCAGTATGAATTCTCTGGTGTTGAGGAAGGCACGATTTTTGATTAAAAGCCTTGCCACATTCTTTACATTTGTATGGCTTTTCTCCAGTATGAATTCTCTGGTGTTGATTAAGGTGTGATTTTCGATGAAAAGCTTTGCCACATTCTGTACATTTGTATGGCTTTTCTCCAGTATAAATTTTCTGGTGTTCAGTAAGGTGTGATTTTTGATTAAAAGCTTTGACACTTTCTTTACCTTTCCAGATTTTCTCTCCACTATGATTACTGTAGTGTTTAAAAAGGTTTGAGCAACACTTAAAGATATTTTCACATTTCTTCAATTTGTAGGGTATATCTTCATTGTAAAGCCTATGGTTTTTAGTAATGGATGGAATTTGAGTAAAAATTTTTTCACATTTTTTACTTATGGAGGATTTATCACTGCTCTGATAAACAATTGAGGGATCTTTGAATGCTTTTACATATTTTTTAAACTTGTAGGGCTTCCCACCAAAATTAATTCTCTGGAGTTCAGGAATTCTTGTAGTTTTATTAAAAACGCTTTCACATACCTTATATCTGTAATTTGTCTCTTGATTATGAAAGCTTGGATAAATAAATTTTTGGCATGGATTAAAAACTTTTTCACTTTTATCATTGTAAAGCTCTTTTAACTGATCACATGGGTGTTTTCTAGGATTTAAAAAAAGGGAAATTTTAATTACTTTCACAGAATTTACATTGTTTTACACCAAATCTAATATACTGCTAATTACTTTGGGTAGAGATTGTCTACAGGTCCTGAACAGAAATATTTGTGGATATTTACAGAATGGTGCATTTCAAATTATTCCACTTACTAACTAAAGAATGAAATTGACTGCATAGAAAATTTTGTATCTTTTAGAGGAAGGGTATAATTACAAAATGCTGTGCAAATATATTTAAAAGCACACGAGTCCTCAAATATGACTGCCATATGTGTCATTGTCTCTTTCCAGCTTAGCCAATGCCCCATATCCCTACAGTTCCAACTTGCCTCAAACACACTAATGTTTGGTTTTAATTTGCGGAAAATCCTGCAGGCACTGGAACATAAACATGGCACTTATGTGCCAGAGCATTTTCATTAAGCCAAAAACCAAACTGCATCTGAGCTGGGCTGCTCAATTTTCCAGCAAAAATATATATCACTGAGGGTGTTGTTAAAATTCTTTCTATGTAACTAGCTCACTGAAATCAGTTAGAAAATACTTTGGATTTGTTGAAAACATATTCCTTGAGATGCACAGATGAGTAGTGCTATGGCCTGAGATTTAGTTCACTGGGGACATGTATAGGATCCAGGAAGTCTCTGGATCTTACACTTGGAAAGTTTTTCTCATTCCACCCACAACCACAGAATGCATAGATATTTTGGGTATTCACTTGGAGACTGGTCAAAAT